CTGAGTCTTGGCCATGGCCCCTGCTCTGCAGTCGCCCCTGCAGGGACCGTGCTCACCTGAAGGTGGCCCCGGAGATGAAGTGTGCCCACTGCTGAGGGGCTGGCAGCCACAGGAGGGTGGCCACCTGCCCAGAGTCACCTGGCACATCTCGGGAAAGAGCCCGGCCTCCGCCCTCAGGCCAGCGGCAAGGCCCAGGAAGGACACAGGGCGACTGTGCGCGGGGGCGCTGGCAGGAGAAGGGAGGTCCGGACAGGGCCTGGGGGCACCTGGTGGACGTGCAGTCGTGCATCCCTCTGGCCACTGCCCGCCTGTCTACACCGTCTACACATGGGAACTGAGCCGCCACCAGCCCCGACTCCACCTCCTCCTCTGCGCACCCCCGGCTCCCAGGTGCCCTCGCCCCACCGCCCCGTGTGGAGCCGCTCGTGGGGCCAGGCCAGCCAGGAGGGGTGCGCTCCTGAGCAGCCTCATGAGAAACTCGACGGGGGCCCACCTGTGCCACACGGGCGCCTGAGAGTGGTTCCTGGAGGGGTGGGCAGAGCTTGTCTGGGTGAATAAATGCTGGCAGCCAGCAGGTGAGCAGTCTTGGTTTAGAGTCCCTGGGTGGGCCTCTGGTGGCTGGGTGGGTGACGAGGGTGACAGAAGGGCCCAGTGACCCAGCCTGTGGGGCATAAGCACTGGCACCTGGAGACCTGCTCTGTCCCTGCCCATGCAGGTGAGGCGGATGGGCCCATGTCCCGTGGGGGGCAGGAGTGTGGATGCGGGGTTCACGAAGAAGTTAGGGAGGTCAGGTTGGGAGGTCCTGTTTATGCTAGAGCTCCAAGGGCCTTAGGAGAGAGAGGAGGGAGTTAGGGGCCAATGACCAAAGGGACCCCCATCTCCCTAATGTCCTCGTGGCACCCCGGGGGCATGCTGCTACTGCCCAGCCATGGCACACTCTCGCGTGCCTATCTGAGGTACTGAGAGGGCAGCGTAGGGGCCAGAAATGGGCATCTGATCATGGGTGAGGTGGGAGCAGGGCACAGGTGAGGGGCACACATGTCATGGGGGGCCCAGCTGAAGTGGGAGTGGGTTCCAGGGGAGGTGGGTGGGGCCCAGATGAAGGGGACAGGGTACAAGTGAGGTAGGCACAAATGAGACACCACCCATGAGGCAGGCGGGCACAGAGGAGGTGGGTGAATGCTCAGGTTCGGTGGGACATAGTGAAGTAAGGGCCCAGGAGCAGCTGGCAGGGCATAGATGAGCTTATGCATGAGCCAGTGCCCCCCACGTGGGCCCACCCAGCTGTCTATACCAGTGATGGCGAACCTTTTGAGCTCGGCGTGTCAGCATTTTGAAAAACCCTAACTTAACTCTGGTGCCGTGTCACATATAGAAATTTTTTGATATTTGCAACCATAGTAAAACAAAGACTTATATTTTTGATATTTATTTTATATATTTAAATGCCATTTAACAAAGAAAAATCAACCAAAAAAATGAGTTCGCGTGTCACCTCTGACACGCGTGTCACAGGTTCGCCATCGCTGGTCTAGATGCTGCTGCCTCGGTCCAGAGCCGGCGGGGCAGGGGCGACGGAGGCCCCACTTGCCAGTCTCCTCACAGCCCCAGGGTG